AGAAATATATACGGTATTAGAGAACAAATGTACATTTCTACATATAAAGCAAATTCTATATATTTCCTTAGATAAATTTACATGCTGTATGTGTATATGCTAAAATAAAATGTAAAATGTAGAAATCAAATATGTATGTATAGGTGGATATATGTGTGATACATATGTAACTATATGGGTTAGTATATGCCTATACATTTCTCTTTCAGCCAAGAGAGCCTAAACCTAGTGTTCACAACTTGATTCCAATGTCACTCTCCAACAAAAAAAAAGAAGGATCATTTTAGAAATCATTAATCCTAGGACTAGGTCAGGGAATAAATAATATGGGCCTGGATTATCTTTCAAAATTATATATATATATATATATACATATATATATTAGGTAGATAAATTAGACATAAATATATATCTATTATATATTTATTGTAATATATCAATATAGTCTAATAGAATATATTAAAATATATATTTATATATAATAGACATATATATATATCTCCAAAGGGACCCACAGAGCTGAAATACTAAAACAAGTTTAACAATAAAAAAATGTACATTTGTATTATAACCAGTGTAAAATAAAAACCCATAAATCTAGACTTTTACCAGAAATTATTAAAAAAAAATTACTAGAGGAGACTAGAGCAATCTCCTATGCAGAAGCATCTAATTTATACAGTCACTCTGCTGTCCAGTAGGACCCCACACTTGACTCTCTACGCGTTAAGTACAGGCAGCACGACACAACTGCCTTCCAAAGAGCAGAGTACAGGAGAGCGATAACTGCTGTGGTTTGAATGTCTCCTCCAAAACTCCTTTGTGAGAAGCTTGATGCCCACTGACACTTTAAGAAGTGATTAGGCCATCAGAGTCCTGCTGTCATGAATGAATGTCATTATTTCAGGACTGAGTTCCCTATAAAAAGACAAGGTGCGGCACTTCCCCACCTCGCTCTCACTTTTCTCCTCCCTTCCCTTCCTCTCTCCCCTCCTCCTTCAGTTGCTGAAGTACAGCAAGAAAGGTTTTGCTAAACAGCTGGTTCCTGGACCTCGGGCTTCGCAGACTCGATACGTTTCTCTTCTCTGTAAAATAACCAGACTGTGGCATTCTGTTAATGGCAGCACAAAATGGGCTAAGACATCTAAGACATGAAGAAAATTGACACTGGAGAAACCTGCCGATCTCTGCCTCAGTGAATGATCAAGTCCAACTCAATGGAGAGAAGCCAAATCAGTATTTGGTAGCAACATTTTATCCTGAGATTTTTATTTCCCCCCAATGTGGCAGCCTAATCATGAGAAAAGCAGCAGAAATCTTTCAGTAGAGAAACATTCATCGAAATAATTGATCCAGAGTTTTCAAATTTTTCAAAAACAACAAAAACGTGTCAGGGTAAAGCTCAGCCTAAGGAAGAACAACAACTGAATGTAACCTGATAGCATGAAGCATTACATTGCAAAACATTGACCTAAAGCAAGAATTTAGAGAAGCTTGAACACAGTGTGCCCTTTAGTTAACAGTAAGTGCAATACTTGGAAAAAGTTCTATATTAATTTTAGATGTAAAGTAGGACAATGCATGTGGTGTGTGATGACTGTGTTCTCATCTCTAACTTCGTGTAATCGAAAGCTGTTCTTCAGAAATTGCATTTTAAAAACTCTTCAAGAAAATGCAAGTATATGGGCCTATAAAAATGTGCCAATGTGGCCTATGGACAGCTGAGATATTATTGGCAACACATGTGATTGCACAGTAATTAAGGCTTATCTTTGATCTCTGCATTGCATATGGATGTTTTGTTCGTTTCTTTTCCATGAACGTGTGATTTAGGACTCCCTGTTCTTTTAACCATCTTACTTGCTTATGCAAACTTTGTTCTCCCCTTTCAACTTGTAAGTATTAGTAATGGAAAAGTAAACTGAAGTGCCAAAGCCAAGGATTTCTAAGGAGGAAAGGACAAAGAAATAGTAATGACCTTCACGAGAAATATCATTGATTAGGAAATATTGCTTGTGGATATTGTCTGTACAGTAAACACTTCTGTACAGTAACTATAAAGATACCTAAGTGGCAATCAATTTCCTAGATGGTAATGGATTTTCTGTATGGTATTATCTTAAGCGATATAATTTGGAAATCAAATCTGCAAATTCAGTTAAATTTTACCACTTAATGTTATAAATATTGTTGGGAAGGAATTTTTAAAATGCTGAAGTTTATCAACCTTTTTGGGTTAGTTCCCTGAAAGCTGTCTACAACTCCATTCTCCGTGTCTGTGCTATGGGTTAATCAGAACAAGGACTATATGATATTTTGTAAAAAGGCATTGTTATGCTCACTGTGATATAGGAGAGCTTCATAGCACCAAAGGACACAGTGTATCATGGTCAGATCCAATTTTTAAACTTTAAAAAATATCCCTGTAGATCAAAGGTACTGCAATAGAAGATTTTAAAGATAGTAACTATACCCCAGTCAATCTTGTTGCCTTCGCCTTATTAATAACTTTAAAGAGAGGGTTAGGAAAACATCATTCTCAGGAAATTATCATTTTGAAACAAGTAACAGTAAATAGCAAATATTATAGTCGAGATTCACCATCTACTGCTAGAATCCTCCTTATGCAACAATATGAATATCTGTTTCTAAGGAGGTAAGGAACAACCAAGTCCAGTTTTCATAATACACACACAAGATCCAAAGTGAATGAAGCAAAAGGAAGCTACCATTTCATCCATTCAATCGTCACAGCACAATTGAGAGTGAGGAGGTGTGCATTGCCTAGAACTACGTGGTTTTGATGATTTTTGAGAACTTTTGTCCAAAGAAAATAAAAATTTTATGTAGTTGAGTCTAACTAATTGAATCTTGCAGAGCTGTGAAGTAAGAAGACCAAGAATATTAGTGTATTATTTCCTTTTCATTGAAAAGGAAAGCTAGTGCTAATATTGATTGGGGACTTTTTATGCCATATCTTGTACTCTGAGTAACAAGTTTGAAGATGACAATATGCAACGTACAAACTATTGTTGTCCTCCTATTGTTTTGTTATGAAATTCTGTTTTACCTTTTTTAATAAAATAAAAACTTAATGTTTCTCTAATCATTTAAAGGAACAGATGCTATGTTTTTTTTCAACTACAGTGGTTATTTCCCAGCTAATATTCCTAACTGGGAGAACACTGTGCATTAGGGTACCATATAGATGTTGGAATTGCTCTTCCAGAGAGTTCCATCTCCTTTGTAATTCAGTACTTAATGGTAATATTTGAATCTATATTTTGTCCTCCCAGCAAATCTGTCTATCAAACATGGCTTCAGCAGCTATCACCTCCAGTTTACTTCCAATTTTCAATCCAGACGTACCTCCGATGTTAAATGCTCACTTGGAATCCTGGATTATTAAATAGTTCTTGAGAATTTGCTCACATGGGCCAGCATGTCTGAAGAGAATCCATTAAATATATATTGCACAATCCTATGTACAAGTAACTGCAATAAAAACTGCAGACTCATAAAACCCAAAGGGTTCATAATCTAGAGAGGGAGATGAATATATACCCAACTAACTTGATTAATATGAAAGGGTTATGAGAGTCTAGAAGAGAAGATAATAACTTCTGGATATTTTAATTGCAGTCAGTTGCCAAGAAATCATGAGCTGTGCCACGTTTTAACCAAAGATTTGGCGTATGAAGAAGTGGTAATAGAATTAGTAAGATAATGTACAAAGCACTATCAAATGCCAAGAAAGTATTTTATTTGTTTCAGGGAAGGGCACATTTTTGGTGTGCATATGTCTTAAAATGTAGTACCAGAGGATAGAAGGGTAGATTTTGGGTGGAGAACAAAGTATCTTAGATACCTTCTTTATTATTTCTCTACATCTTCTAACCTGCTGTCTTGTCTAACTCCAGACAATATCCACAAACAATGTTTCCTAATCAATGATATTTCTCGTGAAGGTCAATAATTTTCCTTGTAGAACAGGGAAATGTACTGGAATGGAAAAGTATTATAATGTGCAATGGAAGAGATCTTAGTGCGTCACATACAGGTTCAACAAACTTCACCAAGGTCATTCCTTGTTATCAAACATAGGTTTGTTTGTTTGGCTCCAGTAATGATGAATGCATCCAAGAAGAAACTTGAAAAGATTGTGTAGAGGGATTCAGGAGGGACGTTTCTGAGTCTGGAAATCACATTCAGTGATAATAAGGAGGAATCAAAGAAGCCAGAATCAATCCTAAGTTGGACATTGTCAAGTGGCAGAGGCTAGTCTGGAACTGGGTCAATAAATGTGTGACAGAATTGGAAAGATTAAATCAGGGTGAGAACTGCAGTAGAAAAGGAGCTGGAAATATAGCTTCCAGTCTGGAAATATAGCTCAGTGCTTGCCTGGCAAGCACGAGGTCCTGAGTTCAATATTCAATGTCAAAAAAGAAAACAAGAACAGGCGCAATCACTTATGTTGGTCAGGAGAGGCAGAATTTAGTCATGTTTGCAGTGCTGGTGTGGTTTTGTCTATGTCCTGGTTAGGGCATTGTTTTTCTTCTGATGGGAAAACTGCAGACTAGTTATTCTCAAGGTTTGTCTTTAGTCTTGCTGATTGTTACTAAGACCAATTGTCATTTTTTAATTCATAGTGCCCTCAGCTACCAACATTGTCTTTGGTTGCATATCTGTTAATGACACATGAAAGTTCTTTTTTAGCTAGAAAGCAATATATGTTAATGACTTAAAACTAATAACTATTGTTACTTCTATAGTTTGAATATGGTTTGTCGCCTCAACTGGAATTCAAATTTGATCTCCTTTGTGCTGGGTTGAGAGATAGGACATTTAAGAGGCTATTAAGTCATTAAGAGGGATTAGTGGTTTTCTTATGCCTGAATTAGTGACTGTAAGAGTGGGTTGTTATAAAGCCGGGCTGTTCCCCATATTTTATCTCTTTGCCATCAAACTTCTTGCTCCTGCATGTCCTACAACATACTCACCAGAAACCTAGCCGAGATGGGCCTCATGTTCTTCAACTTTGTCATCTTCACAACCATAACCAGAATAATCTTCTATTCTTTATAACTCATCCAGTTTGAGGGATCTTGTTATACTGACAGAAAACAGAAAAACATATTTACTTTGTAAAAGATGTCTGAAACCAAGATTCTTTCAAGCATGTAAACTAGTTAGGAGGCTATTTTATTAAATCTTGGTAAAAATAATGGGGAGTCTCTATTTATGCATTGAAATTGGAAAGAATAAAGTAAGTCAACAGACAATAAGATTTATGACTTACCAGCCAAATGACAGGGGTCATCTATGATGAAGTTTGAAGTGAATTTTTGATAAACACCTTGAAATAAGCATAAATAATTAAGCATCTACTTAAATATATACATTATGCTCTATACCTTTGTATGTGCATTGTGGCTATCCTAAGAGGATTAGAAGATAAACCAATTATAGTCTATGACTTTATGCAGCTTAGTCACAAAAGAAGTGTGCACATATGTCAAACACATGATGACAATAAATGATCTAGGGAAGAATTTTGTAAACTTACAGGAGTAGGGAATTAGGAGGATGTAGATTGTTAAATAGAAATCTGATTGCTAATGCTATTGATACAAACATAAAAATATAAATATGAAAATCTAATCCCTAAGTAATCAAGAATGATATTACACAGTGGGTAGGTGAAACAGGATGAGAACAAGTTTTGGGAGAGAGTTTTGAAATTGGAAAAAATAGTAGAAAGTGAGTCCATCCTAGGAAAGTTTAACTGTGAATTATAAGTAATTGAAATCCACAAAATCATAACAATGTTTAAAAGTGATTTATCCTGCATTATCATTTAGACTTTCATATTATCAATAGTAAAACAGAACAGTCATTTTATATTGAATCATACCACACTGTCATGGGCACCTTATATTCTGTTCTGTTTATAAAAACTTCCACCGAAGTGGGTTACACCATTTCATTTAAAATCTAATTGCAAGCTGGGCATGGGGGTGCACACCTGTAATTCCAGCAGTCAGGAAGCTTAAGTAGAAAGTTTGCCATAAACTTGAGGCCAGCCTGGGCTACATAGTGAGTTCAGGGCCTGCTTGAACTACATAGCAAGACCCTGTCTCAAAAAAAATCTATTTCCAGTGTTAATAGCTTTTCACTGTCATAGATTTTTTTTTCTCCTAGAAGAAAGGAAGCTGCTTTCTTCTCAGGCTTTCTGGTTCCTGACACATGGAAACAATGGAGCTGTGATTATTCTTACCTGGAGCTACAATCTCCACTTCAGACTCAGGAGATACCACAGGAAGACAGTCTAAATTCTTAAAATAAAGCAGGAAAGTACACTTCATACCTATGTATCAAAGTATCTTAGTCTTTGCAGTTCTATGTTTCCTCTGTTTAGATTTTCTAAAAAACTTCCTTCAAGTTCTTATTAAAAAACTCATAACTAAACTTCCTACATCTCATTGTGCTACATGTAGAGGTGAAGGAAAGTTTTCACATAGTATCTTAAAATCTCAACTAAAAAGCTAAAATGTCACAGAGCCCTTGGCAGCACTCATGGTCCCACCACTGTGACACGTTAAGGATGTGTTAATAATCAAACCCACATGTGGTGATCAGCAGGAAGGGATTCTACTGGTACCTGGCACTCACTTAGAAAGGTCATGATATGCAAAGTATCCCAACAAGATGAGCCCAAACAGTCTTCCATGGCTTTACTCTATGGTGAAGCTATACTTGGGGGTGGGCATAGTGAGTTCAAGTGCATTTCCCTGTAGCATTTTAAACAGCTTTGTTTCTTCTCCTTCCTGTTAATGACTTCTCTCCCTGTCTTCTTTGGGCAGTTTAACTATCCTACTTCTTCCTGAGATCACACTTCCTCCTATGGAGTTCATCTAGTGCAGATATTCTCCAACCTCCATACCTTATTTTCCCTTATTTGATTTTTTTAGGTGTTCATCAGTTTCAGGAAACTGTTATTCTGAAAATAATTTTCTAGTTTTCTATTTTTAGTTTCTTTTGTTCTCTTATTATTTATACCAGATTCACTTGAACAAATATTTTAAATTGTCAATATCTTTGGTTTCTATCTCATTTTGCATGCATGTACAAACATGCATGCGTATCTGTGTCTCTCTCTATAATATATATATATTAGATATTTATTCATGTATATATGGTACCAAATCTGCATTTGTTTTCTACTTCACACAAAATATCTGCTCTTTTAAAATTAAAATTGGTTTGGGATGGGAATCATATTTCTGTCACACTTTTGTTTAATGTTAATTAACCATTTTATATGTTTTGGCATTAAGAAAAAATTCTCAAGAATACCTAGAATATGAAGTAAATATGTGCACTTACATACATTATGTAATTTAACATAAAAAATATAGTACACATTTATGAGTTATACAGAAAAACAAAAGTAATAGAATATACAGATGTGTAAATTCATAATATTGTATAAGATACAGAGCCCAACAAATTTCAAGATCCGCTACTGTTAAACTGGAGCCCCATGACATGGAAATCTTGTCCAAATGCCAACAGGCTTGGGACCTAGGAAGGCCCAATGTTTCATTTTGAGTCTGAAGGCAAGTAAAAAGCAACGTCTCAGCTGAAGACACTTAGGAGGGAGGACATAATGTGTTTGTGAGAAAATCAATCATTTTGTTTTATCAGCACCTTTAATTTATTGAGAGAGACCCACCTATATAAAAGAGGAAAGTGTGCTTCACACAATCTGGTAATCAAAACATTAATCTCACCCCTAAAAAATATCTCACAAACACATTTAGAACATTGCATAAATATCTGGGCTCCCTGTGGCTGAGTCAAGTTGACACATACAATTAACCATTAACACATCCAGGTGACTTCTTCAACTAAAGTGTGCTTGCTTTGGTCCCAGTTGAAAAACCATTTTGTGGTTTTAGAATTTAAAATGGGTTGATTGACACCACATTAAAAAGTGGTTTATATCTTAATTTATAAACATGTAATTTTTCTGAAGATAAATTCAGCATTCACACTCACCCTGATTGCCTATGTTCATATCTCTTTTCATGGAGATTTTAGGAAGGAGTATAAGTGAAAGTAAAAGCAGTAAATATGTACTTATTTTTTCCTTAAGCATATTAGGTATGCACATAAAATTTCTTTGTGTATAATCTAGACAAAAAGGGAAGATGATCAAGAGGGAACAATTTGTTGTGAACAAACACTTTATCACTGAAAAACACGGTTAAGCAAAAGGAAGAAACATTATCCTATCCACTATTCTGTTAAAAATAAGTTTTAATTTAAGTTAGTCAAAGGCTAACAAAGCAAGTCCTACCCCTGGAACATTAAAATGTCTCATCTAGTTTTTGCTCTTTCAAATTGATTCAACTGCATTTTAATGCTGATTCCTGATTTAGTTTTTAATTAAAGTTGAATTGGAAGTAATTTACACAAATTCAAATGTAGTACTGAGAAATCCCTGTATCTTTCACCCAGTTTCTTTAATTGTAACACCTTGCATAACTCTAGTATGATAACACAGTAGGAAAATTAACATTGATAAAATCCATCAATGTTATTTATATTCATCAGTTTCCCATGTACTTATTTGTGTCTTTGTACCTGTAATTTCATCATATAGAGATTTGTCTCATTATCATCAAAGGTAACTTTTAAGGTTTGATTTGTTTAAAGCTGTCAGTGATCATTTTAGCAAGCTAGGTCATCTAAGAAGATGGAAAAATGTACTCATGTGAATCAGTGAAACAGACAAGCAAGAAGAACACATTAAATTAAAGAATAGTTTGTTGAAAAACAGAATCAGTGATTAGAATAGAGCTGCCTGTGTTAAAGTAAGATTTGCAGATTAAACTCCTTTCTTGACCACTTCCCCTTCCAGGAGCCATCATTGTGTTACTTTTCTCTCATGTTGAGATAAACTACCTGACGTCCAAAGTTAAGGATAGAAAGGTTTACTTAGCTCACAGTTTGTGGAAGTTTCAGTCCATAATCAGCTGGCTCCAAGGCAGGGTGGCATGGCTGAGGGTCAACAGTTTATGGTGGCAGAAAACATCAAAAGAAACAAGAGCAAAAAAGGGGAGAGCAAGCCTCTTTTTCTCCCTTTTATGGCAAGCTGAATAGCATTGACACCATCTTCATACCTCTTCTTGCACAGGTTGAGGGTTTTTACAAAGTGAAGACTATGGTCCCCTGCTGAGTTGCTTAGTTAAGGTTCTAAACTTCTCCAGTTGACACAGTGAATCAATCATCACAACATCCTATGGTGTAAACAGCCACACTAGGGCATGTCCTCTACACCCTGAATGTAGAACTGCTGAGTCACTTAGTTAAGCTTCCACACATCCCAAGTTGACACAGTGTATCAGCCATTACAATCATATATGCAAGGTACTATTTCTTGGTTTGAAGAGATTCTTGTGTTTTTCAGTATAATGCAATTTACCTTTTACTCATTTGAATCTGGACCTTTCTCTATTAGTACAATGAGCCATCAGCCAGAGGAAAATTAACCACCATGAAATATATAAACCAGTTTCTCCTTCATGTGCCATAATATCAAAGACTAAAGAATGGGTGTCTGAGATTGAAATTCTGCTCAACAGGTGTGGATCTGGATGCCTTTTGGTAAATTCTAGATTCCCAAGTTATTCAACTCTAATACTTTCATAACCTAAAAATTAGTCTAATTAATAAAAACATACATGCATTCATTCCTATTATAAGAACTTGTGTGTAGAAACCCTTAGTAAATGTCACCTTTTTGCCATATTATACATTCAGTAAAAGAAAGAGAAGGAAATCGTCTTTTTATAGGACAGATATATTATTAGAATAATGCCAAAAAGGAAGAAGTCATCCTATTATCAAAAATCAAAAGTAGAGTAGATATAGACAAGAAGTGACCACATTAGTAAGAAAGATATAGAATAATTAACAGTTCTGTGTTCCTCCTTGAGATACTTTGTCACAATTAACTTCACAGTCTGGACACAGCACCAATATCTTCAGGTCTTGTGGTACCTTTGTCTTTAGCACATGGCTGTGCTCTGAGTCTTCTGTGAGGCCCCTAACCTTTCAAGGCAGATCTGGGAATTTATATTTTCCTTCCCTTCTCATTAAATATCTTCTTCATGTAGTAGACAAACATAGCTCTGCATGTAGTTCAGAGTTTTGCTCAAACGTTACCTTCTCAGCAGGGCTTTGTTGGAGCATTATCTTAGTTACTTGTCTCATTGCTGTGACAAAGTACCTAATGTCTAAAGTGAAAGGAGTAAAAGTTTACTGTAACTCACAGTTTATAGAGGTTTC